AGCTGAATCTCCAAAGTGGGCTCCTCCGCTGACCTTCAACGACCGAGACATCAAAGCTACTGACTCGGTCGTGGCTGAAAAAGACCACCTATTGGCCTTTAACCTGGCCAAAAGTGTGTGCCTCCCCAAGGACATGGAGCACCACTTGAAGCAACTGAACACCGAAATGAAGTCAATTCGGTCTGCTTCCAAGTCCATGATCTTGGTAAGTAGCTCTGTCTGTTCTTCCTGTCTAAATTTTTCCAATTTTTACCTCGGCTGAAAAGAAATCTTTGTTTTGTCAGGCCTTGCAGAAGAACAACATCACTTATAAGAAAGTCCAGGAACTCCGCAAAACCACAAGGCAGGCGATGGCGGAAGCCGAAGCAAAGGCGGCCGAACTAGCGGAGGCCGAAAGGAAAATGACCGAGCTTCAAGCAGAGAACGGTCGGCTCGCCGATCTTGTTAGTTCGGCTGAAGCGGAGAAGCAGAAGGCAGCCATCATTATGAAGGACAAGTATCTGCGGGAGTTGTTGAAGCTTGAGAAGAGAAAAGACGCCGAAATAAGCGAACTAAAAGAGAGCGTGGGGGCGGCCGAAAAGGAGGGGTACAAGCGAGGTTACAAGGAGGCGGAGGAAGCCTATGTGAAACAATGTGATGCTGCCAAGGAGTTGTTCTTCAAATGTGGCTAGAGGGCGGCTGTTGAGCAGCTCGGTCATGACCAACAGACCGAGGTCTACAACCCTCCAGACTACTTCATACCGAAGTCTCTTGCGGCGTATGCAGACGCTCTGCAACAAGAGTTTCTGGAGGACTCAGACACTGATGACTCCTCTGCTCCTGAAGACATTTCGGTTGTTGGTGCCGACCCATCACTTCGGTTGGAACCCATGGTAGAGGACCTTCCTATCGAGCAGCCAAATGAAGACGTGGTTCCAACCGAAGGAATCATGGCAGCCGAGAGTGAGCTTCCTCTTGAGACCGGTCTTCGAGTTGGTGATGATGCGGCTTTTGATGCTGAAATTGATGAACTTTTCTCTTAATTTTGTACTTTTTTTTTTCTTTTCTTATTTCGTCTTTGTAACCGAACTATGCCCCTCTGTAATGACTTTTGTTTTGAATGAAAATTTTACGCAACTCTTACTCCGGTTTGGATTTGTATGTCTGCACTTTGTAATGTCTTTTATTACTCCAACTTGTATTTCGGTTTTGGCTTTTTAAACTATGCTTACCAGCCAACCACTCCTTAGCCGATATACTTACTTCGGCTAAGGAGTACAAAGTGTTGGTTTATTCCAGCTAACCACTCTTCAGCCATGCACTTACTTCGGCTGAAGAGTAACAAGACTTGGTTTATTCCAGCCAACCACTCTTCAGCCATGAACTTACTTCGGCTGAAGAGTAACAAGAGTTGGTTTATTCCAGCCAATGGTTTATTCCAGCCAACCACTCTTCAGCCATAAACTATACTTACCAGCCAACCACTCCTTAGCCGATATAATTACTTCGGCTGAGGAGTAAAGTGTTGGTTTAATCCAGCCAACCACTCTTCAGCCATACACTTATTTCGGCTGAAGGGAAACGAGTGTTGGTTTATTCCAGCCAACCATTCTTCAGCCATACGCTTACTTCGGCTGAAGAGTAACAAGTGTTGGTTTATTTCAGCCAACCATTCTTCAGCCATACGCTTACTTCGGCTGAAGAGTAACAAGTGTTGGTTTATTCCAGCCAACTATTTGAAGTTAGTTTTTCCAGCTAACTTATAGTATTTGGTTATTCCGACCAAATGTCCTGCAGCCTGGATCCTTATCCTGGGCTTAGGAAGGATGTTGGTGTAATCCAGCCAACCTCTGAGTTAGTTTTTCCAGCTAACTTGGAATAGAATGCTTGCAAAAAACTTATCTCTAAAGGCTAACGTTTATTCCAGCCAACCTCTAAGTTAGTTTTTCCGGCTAACTTAGAATGAAAATGCTTGCAATGCGCCTAATCTTTGCTAAAGCTAACTTTTACAAGGAACAACTTGTGTTGAAAAGAATTTCTCATTTTATTGAAGGAAGAGAAAATTACATATGTTTGAAAAAAGAAAAGCTAAAAGTAAAACAACTTGAGATTGGCCGTATTCCATGGCCTAGGGATTGCCTTGCCATCCTTGTCTTATAGGTGGTATGCCCCTTTGCCTGCTAATCCAACCACCTTATAAGGACCTTCCCAATTTGGGCCTAACTTGCTGTCTCCTGGGATCAAGGTGTTTCCCATTACTTTGCGTAGTACCCAATCCCCAATCTTGAATTGTCTTGGATGAACTTTTTTGCTGTATTTTCTGATTAATTCTCATTGGTATGAGGCGATGTGGACTAGTGCTCTTTCTCTTCTTTCTTCTGCAAGGTCGAGTTCTAAAGCTATGGCTTCTCCATTTAAGTTTGGATCAAAATTTTCGCTTCGAATTGTGGGGAGGCCAACTTCTAGTGGGATCACCGCTTCCATTCCATATGCTAAGGAGAATGGTGTTTCTCCTGTTGATCGCCGAGGTGTGGTGCGGTAAGCCCATAAGACGTGAGGAAGTTCATCTGCCCATTTGCCTTTTGCCTTCTCTAGCCTTTTCTTTAGTCCATCCAAGATGACCTTGTTTGATGCTTCTGCCTGGCCGTTGGCTTGGGGATATGCTGGTGTAGAATTGTAGAACGTAAATTTCAAGAGGTGTATTTGTAATTTACCCTATTGTTTATTATCATCCATACCTACATAAATAAACCAATATATTAGTTAGGGGTGAAACCAGAAAATTAAATTAGAAAGGCATTTATCAATTACAACATTAAAAATTTATATAAAAGTATTTCACATAAATTTTTACGATTGATTTCAAGAAAGATAAAAAATAATAATGTTATTTGTAACTAATATATCATGGATAATATAAAAAAAAAAAGTTATTGATATAAGTTTTAAAATAAATTATATAATGATAAAGTATTTTTTTTATACAAAATTTTAGTAAAAATTCAATATAATAGTCATACTACGTCATCATTGACATATGATATTACCAACTAATAGTAAAGAAACATATAGAGGATGAATCCCAAATGTCTAATGTAACTAACAATCCAATAAATTTCATATTCATTTAATTTAATTATAATTGCATGTTAATAATGATGGACATCACCATTGTATTGAAATTTTCATAAATAATAATATAACTTATCGTAATATCTTTATTTTCAATAAAAAAAAAAACCACTATTATTCTCATAATTTTAAAAATGTCATTGATATTTCAATCTAAATAATATTTTATAATTTTTTTATTTAAGTCTTTTTCTTTATATTTGCAAAAAATAAAAAAAATAAAGATTCCAAAACCAGGGGGGGCACGTGATCCCCCTGGAGCAGATGTGGCTAGGGGCGGAGGTAGCATAGGCCGAGGGGGGTCACGTGCCCCCCCTCAATTTTGCAATTTTGTAATTTTTTTGTTATTGTCATGTATAAAATGTATTTTTTTTTTCCTTAACATGTTCTATGGTTAATGATTTATTATATTGTTCACAACAAGTAATTATTTGATACTTTGGAAACATTATGTGATATTATTTATTTAGTAGTTTAAATCAATAGTGTAGCGAAAAATATTATAGATTTGATATAATGAACTCATTATTTTCAAGTAGTTGAGATACCACTTAGCGTGATTTGCAATTTTCTATGCTTTGAGCATCACATACGTAACGTCATATGGTACTCTAAGACTTTTTAATAATTTTCATTCAAAACACATCATTTATAAGCAATGTCATCTTTTTAATATTTTCCTATCAAATAAAAATTAAATAGATTTTATAATAATTTGTGCCGTAAATGATGTGTTTTTATTTTTTAAAATTAGGAATTTTGATTCATAATTTTTTGTGCTAAAATTGCAAACTTACATCATCATCTCACACCGAGCTACTATTATAGAATTTTGATTTGTTCTTATTAATAATGAATATGTAATTTTTTATGTTTAAATTTATCTCATAAAATGATTATTATCTTAATGTTGCTCAAAAAAAATTTTAAATAAAAAATTATAATTAATAAGTGCCCCCTCTAATCTAATTTTCTGGCTCTGCCACTGATCATGCAAAGAGTTCACGAATGGCGATCGGCGATTCACGAATAAGGAATGACAAAGGGAGATTTTCGATGGTCGTCAGTGGCCAACTAGGTCGATGGTCAACAACAGCACCCATGTTGGTGGTCAACGGCAGCCCCTAGGTCGGTGCAGAGTGGTGTGATTATGAGCTAAAGGATATTGGTTATGAGATGTAGTTATGAGATATGTGATTGTAGTTATGAAATATGTGATATTGGTTATCAACAAAATGGTGCTGGTTATGAGATATGGTTATGAGATAAGTGATGAGAGCTTATAACTAAGTTATGATTAATTTGATTCTAGTTATGAACAAATATGATTTTGGCTCATAACTATAAAAAGTGACCTGCTTACCAGGTCACTTTTAATGATGTGGCTCAATCTGAGCCATTGATTTTCGATGTACCATACATTTTTTAAACACAATGTACTATAGACTTTCCCTAAAACTAACGGCTTACCCCTACTAAAAAAAATCAGCCCAGCCCATTGCTATCAGTAAATTTTTTTTAAAAATAGTGCAGCTTATAAAGATTCTTATAGTTTTTTATATTTTTTATTTTGTGCTATAGTAGTTGTGTAGCTTTTTCTTACCACTCATAAGGAATAAATAATTTACATAAATTGAAAAAAAATTGATTATTAGGTAATAGAGGGATGCATGATCTTAACTTTTAGTTTTTGATTATTCACTTTTAGCTTTCCTTGAAATTGAACCAAATTTAAAGGGCAAATTTTACAGTTGTGTTTAGATCAAAAATTTTTTAAAAATTGTTAAAAAAAAAAGAATTCATTTATTTTTTTCCTTTCCTTTTCCTCTCTACAAATTCCTCTCATTGTTCAACCAAAGGCAACATAATACAAATAAGAAAGATGAAAAGGAGGGAAAACTACTTGGATTAGACTTCAAATTCATGTAATGTATTGCTTTGTTTTTTTCACGTTTACAAATAAGAAAGGTGGAAAAACTACTTGGATTAGACTCGAAATTCATGTAATGTATTGCTTTCTTTTTTTCACGAGTACAAAAGAGAGGAAGACAATCAATTGAGAGAGTAAACTAAACTAAGAGACAATCAATTGACGAATCAAATATATTTAAAATGGGACAGATGGCAACTTTTTATTGGCCAAGAAATGTCTAATTAGTTGAAGGGCTTGTACGGGTTTAAAAGAAGGAACTTCATGTCCAGCTCCTCTGATCGTCACAAACATGAGCCCTTCGTACTCAATTGTCCACCCACCAACCTGCGAACAAAAAATCCAATCCTTTATTTCTTTTTTCCTTTTCTTTTTTAATAAAAAAAATTTGTGAAAATTTTAAGTACAATTTAAATTGGTATTCTAAAAAAATAATTTCAAAATGTGATATTATGAGTTGTTTAATCTTTTATTTTTTCTTATGAATCCAAACATCTCATTAAAGTGGAAATTATATAAAAGGTAGTCACTTACACACTTGAGTTTAATTTTTTAGGGATAAAAATGGATTTCTCCAAATGTGAAATTACAAATTTGGGCAATCCGCACTATAAAGGGTTTGGATTTTTCCTAATTTTGGAACAAATCTCACATTAAGAATAAGAATGTAACACTTTAATGTTATACTCTAATAACACAATACTCCAATGCAACACATAAAAAAACTCCTTAGTATATATTTTTTTTAAACGTAACAACGTAACACTTCCAAACAAACTCCTCAGTATACTTTTTTCAAACGTAACACTTCAATGTAACACACAAAAAAATTCTTTAGTATACTTTTTTCAAACATAACACTTCAATTAATGTAATATCAGACGAAACACTTCAATATAACACACAAAAAATCCTAAGAAATTTCTTAGTGTACTTTTTCTAAACGTAACACTCATAAATTGAAATTATACATTTGTCCAAAGCTTACTAATGAATTTTTGTACTCCTTTTGAAATAGTTTGAAGAATCCCACATTTTTTTTTGGGGGAATATTACGTTTGGAAAAAGAATGTTATATTTGAGAAAAATACACTAATTTTTTTTTTTGTTGGAATAGTACACTAAGGAGTTTTTTTAAAGTGTTACATTGGAGTGTTACAGTTTGAAATTATACATTTATCCAAAACTTGCTAAAAAAATTTTATACTCTTTTTGAAATATTTGAAGAATCTCACGTCCTTTTAGAATGTTTGAAGAATTTTATATTTCAAGTCATTTTTGTACTCGTTTTGGAATGACAATATTTTGAAAATTGGATTGGACCAATCGATTCGACCTATTGAACCGTCGACCGGTCTATGGTCTGGTCCGGATATACCCTCTAATCCGTTCTCTCTTGAAAATCAATCATTTTAAGCTAAACCGGTGTGAACTATGGTTAAACCGCTAAACCGGATGAACCGGCCCGGGTTGAAGCAAACCTGATCGGTTTGGTGCAAACTGGACCGGTTTGGTATGTTTGGTCCAATAGTAAAAAAGTTGACGCTAAAGGGACTTAAACCTAACACCTCAAGCTCTAAGAGTATGAATTTCCATTCTACCACCATGGTTACTCGGTAATGTATAGGAAATATATAATATTTATTGTATTTAAACTAATTTCCCTCAAACACATGTATAATTAATATTTTTATAAACAATATTAATATAGAAATACATATAAACATATATGTTTGATGAATATATATTAAATTATAAAAATATTTTAAATGAATGTATTTTATTTATTTTTAAATTATAAAAATATTTATAAAATAATTATGACATCACGGTTTGATTTCGGTTCAACTTGACGGTTGAATCGGTGATCTGTCCACCCAATTCTTTTTCCAGTTTGTTCACCGGTCTGATTTTGAAAACATTGGGTGAAAGCTTGGCATGCCAGGCGAGTTTGGACTTGGTCATGGGCATTTGAGCCGAAAGATGATTCTTATTTTCACATGGTTGAGCCTCGGCAGGCTTGCCTAGTTGAAATACACGCACTATATTCACTTTGATACATCAGTATTCTGACTTGGAAGAAAGTCCTTAAACATCTCTTTTAGTTTTTGAGGTTGATAAATCATAAACCTAAGCTTACAAGAATTGTTTATGAAGTTCGAATTTTCTTTTGAAATTACTACTATCTGTAAGATCTGTCCGAAACATCCTTGTTATGAACCTGTCCCTCCATTGTAGAATGAAATCAAAAACCTTCATGCGAAGCCTTGAAAACATTCTATTCAAAAAATTGAAGAATACATAGGCGAGTGAATGTCAGAATCAGAAAAATAGGTCGACGAATGGAATGATATCTGTTGTTCATATTATGAATTGGATAAAGTTGCTTGGGTTTGTGGGATGTCCCACTTTGATGATATGACTTATTTATTTTTTGTGTAACATATAAAAAAAAAAATAGTGTACTTTTCTCAAATATAACACTCCAATCAATGTAAACTCAAACATAACACTCCAATGTGATATATAAAAAATATTAAAAAAAAATTTAGTATACTTTTCCTAAACATAACACTCATAGTTTGAAATTATACATTTGCTCAAAGTTTATTAATGAATTTTTATACTCCTTTTGAAATAGTTTGAAAAATCCCACATCTTTTTTTAGAATGTTACATTTGGAAAAGAATGTTACGTTTAAGAAAAATACACTATGAATTTTTTTTTGAAAATAGTACACTAAGGAGGAATTTTTTTGAAGTGTTACGTTTGAGTGTTGTAGTTTGAAATTATACATTTATCCAAAACTTTGTAAATAATTTTTGTACTCTTTTTGAAATATTTGAAGAAACCCACATCCTTTTGGAATGTTTAAAGAATCTCGTATTTCAAGTCATTTTTGTACTTGTTTTTGAATGCAATGTTTTGAAAATCGAACCAGACCGGCCGATTCAACCGGTCTATGGTCCAGTCCGATTATACTCTCTAGTCTGTTCTCTCTTGAAAACTGGGGCTAAACCGGTGCGAAGTACAGTTAAACCGCGGACTATGGTCCGGTCCGGATATACTCTGCAGCCTGTTCTCTCTTGAAAACTAGGGCTAAACCAGTGCAAATTACGGTTAAACCGCTAAACTAGATGAACCGACCCAGGTTGAAGCAAACCGGACTGATTTGGTATGTTTGGTTCAATATTGAAAAAGTTGACGCTAAGGGACTTGAACCTAACACCTCAAGCTCCAACAAATATGAATTTCCATTCTGCTACTATTGTTATATATAGGAAATATATAATATTTATTGTATTCAAACTAATTTCTCTCGAACAAATGTATAATTAATATTTTTACAACTAATATTAATATAAAAATATATATAAACATATATGTTTGATGAATATATATATATATATTAAATTATAAAAATATTTTAAATGAATGTATTTTATTTATTTTTAAATTATAAATATATTCATAAAATATGATATCACGATTCGATTCCAGTTCAACCTGACAGTTGAACCAGTGACATGTCCACCCGATCTATTTTTCGGTTCGCTCACCGGTCTAATTTTTAAAACATTGTTGGAATGTTTGAAGAATCTCACATTTTAAGTCATTCCAAATAAAAAAGGAGTGACTTTTATCTCTTTTGGGCCGCAGTAACATTTCGGCCTTTTACCCAGTCCTTGGTATTTTGGGCCACCAAGTCCGTCTCACAGCTCGGCCCAATTTTTACCAAAAATTACCCTCTCACAAAAGAAAGAATAAAAAAATAAAAAAATAAACATGATAGAAATAAGGGTATAATCGTAAATTCAATTTTCGAGTAATATATTAAATCTAAATTTTCAAAATTAATGTGACTAATTGGTCTATAAAAGAATTCTTAAGACTAAACGGATCACCATTCCAAGAGATGGAATTTACAGGTAAATTTTCCAAAAAAAAAAGACAGAAAAAAAGAACAAATATAACGAATGGAATGATATTTGTTGTCCATATTGTGAATTGGATAGAGTTGTTTGGATTTGTGAGATCCACCATGAGTCTCATTTTAATGATCTGATTTTTTTTTTTTTTTTTTGGATTTATGTATGTAAATTGTAACGAAAATCAAATCGATCCGATAATTAGAGTCAATAAAAAAAATTATAATAATCCGATAATTATAACATTTATTTTTATCACGTCTTTTAAAAAAAATAAACGATTTAGTTTCGAAATTATATCAGTCTATTTTATTTTTTTTATAAAAACAAATATAATTAAATAATATTGTTAAGATTATCGCCAGAATTTGAAATTTTTACTAATAAATTTAATCAATTCAATCATCAAAGTGGCGCTCAATGGTGAGCTTCACGAATTCGAAAACACCATTCAGTATAAATTTGGACCAGAAAGAATCCTGTTAAACATAAATTTAAACTGGAGAAGAGTCCTCCTTATTCGTAACAAGAAAGAAAGAAATACCTGGCGATTGTTAGTGTACCAAGGAGTCCATTCTTCAATGGTGTTCAAACCAAGCTTTCTCAACGTATATCTCGTCGCCGTCACCGGAATTCTTCCATCGGTGTCTCCACTATAATTAAATTTCAAGAAAATTAAAATTAAATGATTTAGAAATTTTATTACAATGAATAATCAATTTCAGAATATATATATATATATATATTAGTGTATACCCATATCTAAAGGTACGGTATAAATAAAAGTAAGTGAACAAAAAAGAGAAAATAAAATAAAAATAAATAAATAGGGAGAAAAATAAAAAAGGAGATAAAATAAAATAATAAAATGAAAAGAGGAAGGAAAGTGAGATTATGGGATTATTCATGAGATCATAAGAGAATGGGTGAGAAAATAAAAAATATATATATATATATATATGAAGATTGAACTTTTTAATTACAAAAAGAAAATTAAATTACCTGTAAACCCATACGCGGACGCCTCCAGCAATTAGCTTTTTGATGATGGGAAGTATGGAGAATGGTGCATCACTCCAAAATGTTATATTATCACTGGATTCAAACAAACAAGCCCTAATTAGCTCAATCCTTATTAGTATTTAACCATGAAGTACATGCACTTGTTCTCAACTCTTTTAGTTTCTAAAAATCCTTTCTTTTATATTTTTTGACATCTGATATCACGAAAAAAAAAAGCCTATTTGGTAATCATTTCATTTTTAGTTTATATTTATAAAAATTTTAAAAATTATCATAAAAACTTGTTTAATAATTTTTTTAGTTTATAAATGGTTGTCTCAATTTGTAAATTTGAAGAAAAAACGTAAACTTATTTTTTTGAGTTTACGTTGGCTTTTAAATAGAAATTTAAAATTTTAACTAACAATTTTTATTTTTCAATCAATTTTTTTCTTCAAATAATTTTTTTTTCAATTAATTTTTTTCAAATAAATTTTTTTTCAATTAATTTTTATTTCAAATAATTTTTTTTTTTCAAATAATGTTGTTTTCAATTTTTTTTTTCCAATTAATTTTTTTTTCAATTATAATGTGTATGATCCCATTGTCATAAATAATAAAAAATAAATATAAATATTTTAGGTCTGAACAAACATATTTTTTAGTTTATGTTTTTAAAATTTTTCAAATATTTTGTTCAATCCAAACGTGTTTGTAGTTTATGTTTTTCTAAAAAAAAATAAAAATCAGTTTATAAAAATTTTAAAAACATAAACTAAAAACGGAAACGTTATCAAACGCTACCTAAATAAATTTGTTTTTACAAGACTTAAGTTATCACTATTAATATAATTACTAGTATATTAGTTTCAAAGTTACGACTAAATATGAGCAAAAAAAATTTCTAAAGAAAATCTTCTTTTGAAAAAAAGTTTCCCGTCCACCAAAACAAATGGAGTGTAAATAAAACAATAAGTTTAGACATACAAAATCAATCACATAAAATAATTCTAATAAGAAGCAGCTCAAACTATAGCCAAGTTACTGCTACGCATAAGAGTCATCGAAAAACTTTCTTGCGAAGGCTTAGTTGTCTAATGTCCATAGACCAAATCTCTCAATTGACAATTGGATCTAAAAAATTTTAAGCCACTATTGATTTTGATTATACACATAGGCCATGTTTGTTTGAGCGGACTGGATTAGCATTCCCATGACTAATAGTCCTAGGACTACAAATCCGTTGGATTATGTATCCTATCTTAACTAAAAGTCAAGTTTAAAATAATTAGTCCCTATTTCAATTGTTTAATCAAACATCGGATTAATAATTTTATTGGACTATTAGTCCAATCCCAACCTCATGTCCACTCAAACAAACGTGGCCATAGGGTGTGTTTGATTGGGGGGGATTGGGGGGAGACTATTCACCATTCGAATTACTTATTAAAAGGAGTAAGTAGTTCATCGTTTGTTTTTTTTTTTTATCCGCCGAACATAGAGTCCGACCGGACTCCTTATCCCCCATATGGAGGATTATACTATCCCAGAGGAGGGGGGGAGGGACAGTTTTGGGAGAATTATTTACTGTTGGGATTAGGTAGTAAAATGATTATTTTGACCATCTACTATTTGATTATGTATTATATTTAGTAAAATTCAATAAAATTTAAATGTCTCAATTTAAAAATAAAACAATTTTATTTAACTTTTTATTGATGTTTTAAGTATTTAATTTTTTCAAATAATTTTTTATTGATATTTTATTTTAAAATTTTGTTTATATTTTATTTAATTTCATTATTTAAATGTTAATAGATGTTTTTTTATTTAATCTAGCTAAAAATAATTAAAATATTAAAGATATGTTTAATATTGGTATTACTTAGTAAATAATTGAAAAATGGTAAAATAGTCTTTTGTTCATTTATCATATCCAGTCCGTCCAGCCAAACGAAAAAACAAACACACGACACATATCCAATCCAACCAAATAGTCCAGGGGATTCACAGTCCCAAGACTCAAGTCCGATCGATTCTAATCCCCTTTATCCAGTCCGTCCAATCAAACACACTCATATAAATGATTGTTTTGAGAAGTTGGTTAAAAGTTGGCTTTTTGATTTTTTTTTTTTTTAAATGTGTAAAAAATAGAGAGATTATGTGGCCCAAAATAGATTAAAAGTTAAAAGATGACTTTTAACCATCTTTTCAAAAAGGCCAAAATAATTGAAGAATTATTTTATCATTATACTTAAATTTTTTGTGATTGATTATATGGTTCTAGACTTGTAAGTTAAAAACATTATATAATAATACAACAATGATAGAGGGCCCTAATTTTTGTGGCTTAAATGGCTCGAATTTGTCAAAACGACGTCGTTTTAAGTACAAAACAACATCAAAATTGCCAAAACGACGTCGTTTTGACAAATTTGAGCCATTTGAGCCACAGAAATTAGGGCCCTCAAATATTTTCCATAATAGTATGTAGAGATGTACTTGCAGTGGGTCCATGGATAGGGAATTTTGGTGACATTGGCATGGAGAGCTTGTTGAACATCTGCCCTATTCAAGTATGCCTCAGTGTAGTCTGACAGGCAAGGGTCATACCCAGCTGGTTTCTGGTGCCACCCCTCCTGCAATTAAAAACAAAATAAATAAATAAATAAATAAAAACGAAAATAATTTGAGTTATTGATTAATGGATGAAAACTTTCAATTCTTTCATTCGTAGTATTGCATATGCAAAATAATCTAAGATGCTCCTGGCTTGACTAATAAAGCCAGCGTTCCATATTTTGTGTCTAGTGGTTAGAAAGAAGAAAAGTAAAAAAAAATAAAAAAATCAGTTTTCCAAAAAAAAAATAAAAAAATGGAATTAAAAGAAAATTTGTTATTATTTTGTTTAATCAACAAAAAAGAACCTTTATTAATGAATAGCCAAAATTACAAAGGTCTTACATCAATAGAGGGGGAGGAAAAGGTCCAAAAATCATCATAGCAAGCCCAACGATCCCAACTAGATCGGCATCGAATAAAATACCCATTCATATAATAGCACCTACCCAAGTTGGTGAGAAACCAACACAGAGAAAAGGGAAAGAACAAAGAAAGCAATAGCCCATTCACAACAAAAAGGCACCCTAGCAGCAGCAAAATTCAAATAAAAATATTGTAATTATCATATCAATTTAATTTTTTTTTTTATAGATGACGTCTATTGAGGATATTACAAAATGAACTGAAATAATAAGAACTAAATAGGCACTAAAACTATGACACTTCATCTTTTTCTTTTTCTTTTCACTTAAATATAGTTCAAATCTAGTTAGTTATGAACTGACAAAACTATCGTATATTATGAATTACATGTTGTCGTTGGTCTCCCATGCAAGGATTCTAAATAAGCCATCAAAAATGTAAAAGTAAGAATATTACGCACACAAATTGCACCGATATTTCGCAAAATGTTCATTATGTGTGCGTATGAATGTTGATATAGAAAATGGAGAGGGACTCACAATTTTGGAAAATAATTGAGGAGCAATGCCTTGGATCGTGGGAAGCTTTCTAGTGGTGCTAGAAGTACTATTGACACAAGTTGGAGAATACAAGCTGTACATGTCAATGATCTTGTAAACATCAAAGTACTTATTGAGGGAATTATGGCAATCATTGGGCAAATTTGGATCACTAAAGTTGCATTTGCTTTTTACATCCGCATACAGACGATCTGATATTACAGCATGGTCCCACGCATAATCAATCATCCCCTTCTGATCTGTTTCATCATCCAATAATGCATTCCCTACCTGTATTGTAGTTCATGTGCACGCAAAACAAGTTAGAATATCTACTAATTAAATTTGTGCGTTAAAGTGTTTGTTAACAATAATACTGAGAATACACAATTAAAACACAAAATTGATCACTAAAATTGCAATGGTATGTAAGTTGAGATTTATATTCTGAATTGAATTTGATCCCAATCTTTCATTATATTTTTCTGTGAATCATTCTGTGATCTAGTCTGTGTTCTTAATATAATAAGTTTGTTAACTAAAAAAAATAAAAGTAAATTTATATGTTAAGTGTTTATTAATTTAGAGAATAAATAGATATTTCAATACTAGTGTACTTACAATATGTTTTTAGTATGTATCTCATCCTTACTCTCTTCTACCACGATAACCTACTATGCTTTTCACAATACAACTAATTACATTTTAATCCATCTTTTTATCTTTTTTCCATCACATCATTTCTCTATTTTTCTGTACATCTTTTCGTAAAAAGACAAAAAGTGCACTTATTTGGGTCATCCCAAACAACCCCATAGTCATTGAAAATGAAAGAAGTTACTTTTCTAATTCTATTGATGATGTATATTAAGACTGAGTTTTGTTCATGAATTTATGTAGAGATTTAGAAAGTAAATGGGGGAAGAAAAAAAAAAGCGAAATGTAACACACATCTTTACTTTTTTTCTATCAGAGATGCTCTTAGCAATAAAATTTTATTCATTAAAAAATGAGAAGCTAATTACCCAAAATAAAAATTGCAAGTATAGACAGCACTCACCATAAAACCTTTGAGGTTTATATAGTCATCCTTTGGACCATTCTTATTATTATCAAAAATTTGTTCTGCAAGCTCTGGAACATAGTGCCCTAACAAATACAATAAACATTTAATAGACATAATGTATATACATTAACAAAATGGGAAATGTCATGTAATTGCATTTATAAGAAAAATTACGATTTTTGTGATGATAGTTACGAATAATGAAATTATGATGTACACCTAAAAGTTATATATAACTAAAGCTGTACTGTTTGTTATAAAAGTTATATACTCTGCAAAAAGCAAAATGTTTATTTTTTATGAAGAAAAAATTTATGCTTTTTGTAACAAAAGTTATGTATTATACATAAGGTGCATTCTATATAAACCCAAAAAAAAGGTGCAAATAGTAGGATATAATCAACCGTTAAGACAGAAAAATGATCAGATTAAAATGATCAGATTAGTTTGAATTGGGATAGGAAAAGCAAATCATGTTTCCTTCACTTTTCTTGTTAAGAAAGAAAAATTTTGTGTCTACGAGTGATTCGGGTTAGGGTAAAGTAGGATATAATCAACCGTCATCTCTAAATATAAGAAGTGGTAGTGAACATACCTGCGTAGCTTTCTCCGGCAATGTAGAACTCATGTGACTTGAATTGTGGGAATCTTCGGAACCAGTTGACAAGAAAATTGTACGAATCCTTGGCTAATGATAATAAAAAACTGGTAATAAGTAAAGCAAGTAAATATAATTAAGAATTGTTCTACTTTGAAATCTCTTGTTCCTTTATTCCAATTACATTCTTCATCATGTTTTGAAATTTATAAATATTTGAGATTTCTACACGATTCAACGATCAACGAGAATGTATTAGAATAGAAGGATAAAAAGATTCGGTAACCAAAAAAAAAATATTATATATATGACAATTTAAGAACATACTATGATAAGGACTATGTCTGACAAAAAACTAAATACCTGTAATGGTGTCGCCAAGCTGGTGCATGTCACTACTCGTATTTGTGTATGAAAAACCGACACCAACAGGGGATTCCACAAACAGCAAGTTAGCAGCTACAGAAAGTTACCATAACTAATTAGTTATGAGAGTTGAGAGAGTCCTCCTCTTATCATATGGTTTTAGGCTTGGCTTGAAGTCAAGTAGAACCCAAAACTATGGTGCATTGAAAGAATAAAGGACATAGATGCACACTATCAATACCTTTGACAAGTGAAACAATAATGTTAAATGTACAGAATTAGAATATAGAAATTGCACATATAACACATTGTGTGGTTATAATCTATTTTGAGTGTGATATTGTCTAGCCACACAATGTGTTTTCTGTATTCTAATTCTATGTACTTAATATTTTACACTTAGCTTGTTATAAAGTAATCATCATGTTTAGTTAAGATTTAAATTTTATTATTTTATAATAAAAAAATAGAAACTAGATTTAAAAAAACACCAAAAAATATTTTCTCTCAAAAAAAAAAGAAAAAAAAAAAAAAGAGAAAATCATGAAGAAAATGATGGGTGCTTTTGTTTTTTGTTTTTATTTTAAAAAATTAGTTTTTAACATTTTGCAAAACTTAACCGAGGAGGGTGCGTAATAACTTGTCATTAAAGAGACAAAAATTTATTATTTATGTTCTTAATACAACACATTCCTATCTGTTAGGTTTTTATTTTTGACAATCTCGTTTGACAAAACTTCTTTAAGTTGTATTTGTTTTCGCACTTTTTATTTCAGTAAGGCTATGAGTTTTTAGATGCAAATTCAACCCGAATTGTGCCTTGCAGAGAAGTTTTGTGATGTTAATTCTTTCAAGATTGTCACTTCGCTGATCATGACGGGGATCGAGCTGCCCGGTCAGCTCACGGGGGTCGAGGGGCAGCACCCCCGAAGCAAAATGCAAAAATACATTCCAAGTTGCCTGTCCGCTCGAGCGGGCATTCCCCCGCTCGAGCAGAGAATGCTGAGTTCCAGAAGTTTATTCGCCTGCAAAAATACTGGATGTTGTTTTTTCCCGCTCGAGCGTAACTTTCCGCGCTCGACCGTAGGTCCGTTCGAGCGGCCAATCTGACGCTCGAGCGGAGATCGCGGGACAGTTTTCTATAAATACGTGTTTAAGTCCAAATCTAGGGCAACGCCTCTAGATCTTCTTCTTGGGTTCTAGAGTTTATATTTGGGGCTATTTTGCTAATTTTCTTTGATGTTTTCATTGAGTATTCAACTCATGGTTTAAGAAGCATACATCAAAGGTTTGTTTGTTTATTCTATACAAAAGAGAGAGTTGTTCTTCAGTAGATTCTAGGGAATTTGAGCCTGAAGCTTTGGTGGATTCTAGAGTGGCTCATCGTCAAGACAATTCCGAGGTGAAGATGGGGTTGGAAGAGGCACATAGGGATTGGTTCAATTCGAGCGTAGATTCGCTAGGTAATTGAGAGTATACCTGTGTAATTCCTTTATATCTTCTTAGTGGATTGTTTTGTGGCTGTTGCCCGTGGTTTTTTTATCACAATCGGAGGTGCTCCATTTGTGGTTTTTCCACGTTAAAATTGTTATGTCAATTTGTCTTAATTGTTTGATTGAGATTGTTTTATTGCTTAAAATTGATACATAATCACAAATCAATATCTAGCGGATTTCTAGATTTTTCAATTGGTATCAGAGCAGGTCGCTCTATTTTGTTTTTAAAAAAAATTTTGAGCGAGATCTTGTTTGATTTGTGATAATGGATTCAATACGTGAGGGAAATTCTATGGTTCGACCACCCCTACTTGACGGATCCAATTATTCTTTTTGGAAAGCTCGGATGAGATCATTTTTGAAATCTATTGATGAAAAAGTTTGGCAATCTGTCATATATGGGTGGACCGAACCAACGATTATCGTTGATGGAGTAACTTTCCCCAAACCAATTGATAAGTGGGACACAATTGATTACCAAAATAGTAACTGGAATAGTAAAGCTATCAATTCTCTTTTTTGCGCTGTCACACCTGAAGAGTTTAGTCGTATTTGTAATTGTGAAGTTGCAAAAGAGGCTTGGGATATCTTACAAACTATTCATGAGGGCACTCCTTCTGTTAAACGCTCAAAACTTCAAAGGCTCACATCTAGTTTCGAAAACCTTTCAATGAAAGATAGTGAGACCTTTGATGAATTTTATGCGAAGTTGAGTGACAATTCCGAGGTGAAGATGGGGTTGGAAGAGGCACATAGGGGTTGGTTCAATTCGAGCGTGGATTCGCTAGGTAATTGAGAGTATACCTGTGTAATTCCTTTATATCTTCTTAGTGGATTGTTTTGTGGCTGTTGCCCGGGGTTTTTTAATCACAGTTTGAGGGGTCCAATTGTGGTTTTTTCCACGTTAAATCGTTGTGTCTCTTTGTCTTGATTGTTTGATTGGGATTGTTATATACTGCTTAAAATTGATACATAATCATAAATCAACATCTAGTGGATTTCTAGATTTTTCAATTTGGTATCAAAGCGGGTCGTTCTATTTTTTTAAAAAAAACATCTTTTAGAACGAGATCTTGTTTGATTTGTGATAATGGATTCAATACGTGAGGGAAATTTTATGGTTCGACCACCCCTACTTGACGGATCCAATTATTCTTTTTGGAAAGCTCGGATGAGATCATTTTTTAAATCCATTGATGAAAAAGTTTGGCAATCTGTCATGTATGGGTGGACCGAACCAACGATTATCGTTGATGGAGTAACTTTCCCCAAACCAATTGATAAGTGGGACACAATTGATTACCAAAATAGTAGCTCGAATAGTAAAGCTATCAATTCTCTCTTTTGCGCTGTTACACCTAAAGAGTTTAGTCGTATTTGTAATTGTGAAGTTGCAAAAGAGGCTTAGGATATCTTACAAACTATTCATGAGGGCACTCTTTCTGTGAAACGCTCAAAACTTCAAAGGCTCACATCTAGTTTCGAAAATCTTTCAATGAAAGATAGTGAGACCTTTGATGAATTTTATGCGAAGTTGAGTGACATTGTAAATTTTAGTTTTAATTTAGGTGAAAAAATACCAGAATCCAAAGTTATGGGAAAAGTTTTGAGATCCTTGCTCGATCGATTCCAACCAAAAGTTACGGCTATTGAGGAGGCTCAAAATGTTGACAACCTCAAGCTGGATCACTTGGTTGGAAATCTCCAAACTTATAAGGCACATAGGAATTTCAAAAAGAAACAAAAAGATGCTATTGCTTTTAGTAATGCCCATAGAGTTGGAGAAGATTCTGATGAGGATTGTGAGATAGATTCCAAGATTACGGCTGCCTTTGTTAAACAATTTAAAAAATCTTTTCTGAAAATGAATCCTAATTTTTTGGAATCTACTCATACTCATAAATCTAAAGGTAAAGATAAACTCAAAATTAATTCTATAGCCAAAAAGGAGAAAGGAAAGATACAAGGGAACTCTGGAAGAGTTCAACGCTATGAATGCCAAGGATTTGGCCACTTTGCTTCAGAATGCCCAACTCGTTTGAAGAAGAAGAAAGCCCTCGCTATCACTTGGGATGATGAATCAGAATCTGATGAAGATGAAAGTGACAACGAAGATCAAGGCGAAGAGGGACATAAATAATTCCTCGCTTTCATGGCGGCTTCCGAAACTGACGGACAAACAGAATATCCGAAGAGATCGGTTGAGAATGCCATTGATGATGAATCCCCAAAGAGTGATGATGAAGAGGTTGAGCAAGCTTATGAAAAGTTGCATAAGGAGTCTCTTAACTTATCCACATTGAATGACAAACTCACAACGAAACTCAAAGCATGTGAAAGTGAGAATGTCAAACTTAAGGAGGAGATTTCTGAGGTTAGGATTGATTCCATCAAGATAGCTAATGATCGACAAGCTCTTTGTGCAAAACTCTTGACTTGTGAGACAGAGAGGAATGAGCTACAGTAAATCTATGCAACGTATGAAGAAAAGATTGAATCTCTCGAGATGTCTTAAGTTGCTTTGGAAGAACTAATGATCAAGAAAGAGGAAGAGCTCAAGTGTGCTATGACTACCATTGATCTTTGGAACAAAGGATCAAAGACTTTAGACAATATCATTGGGTCTCAACAAATTTGTTCTGACAAGAGTGGCATTGGCTTTGGCTTTGGTGGTAAGATAGAGCAAAAACAGAGTGCATCCACATCTCATGATACAAGAACTCAAGGAAAGGGAGAACAAAAAATTCAACATAAGGATGGACTTCTCAAACTTCCTAGAGTTGGTAAGGTAAAAGGAAAAAAGGTACACCCTGTACACCATGTTTTTATTTGTCATCATTGTGGTATGCATGGTCATATTTGCCCTTATTATTATAAGTTTCATGGGAGAGCGTCTCATAGAGATGGAAGAAATTTCCACATCTCCTGGCGTAGGAGACACTTTATTGGTAGTAATGAGGTTAAAGGTCATATTAGATCTCGTTATTTTGATCAGCTTGAGACCAAACATGGAGCGAGTTTGTGTTTTCCTAGACCTAAGAATAGGGAGTTGGAAACCAAGTCAAGATAGGTTCCCATTGAAGGGGAAGGGAACCACAACATCAAGATACCACCCAAGAACTGCAATTCTCACAATTTTTTTCATACTAAAGCGGTTTGGGTGAGAAAACTTGACTTGTATTAATTTGTTTATTCGTTTTAGTTTTTGGGTTTCTGTATGTTTTTTTTCTTTTTGAGTCGTTTAATGTGTGCATGTTTGTTTTCTGTCTTGCTTTGTTTAGAAAAAAATTGTGTGCTTGTTCATTTTTTGTCTTGCTTTATTGTTTAAAAAAAAAGAAAAAAAAATCTAAAAAGATTTTCTTAGTATGGCTTTGCAAGTTTGAAATTTTTGAGTGGTCCTTGGTGCATATTGGAATTGATGAGAATATCTATTATATGTTAATATGTGTGTGCTTTCTGTGGTCAGTACTCTTTTGGAGTATGTGTTCTTTGATTAGTATGTCTCATTCTGTACACACTCTTGGATTAGCAAATATTGGAGTCTTCCACCTTAGTGATCTTTTTTCTCTATGGACTACTGGCATGGTATCTTTTGTTTTTCTAGAGGAATTGACCGATACTAGCATATCTTGGGTGATGTTGAGTCTCTTAACCACCTTCCATCTTTTTGCATCTCCACGGCTTTCCTCTTTATTCTTTGTAGTCTAGCCATGAGGAAAAGGCTACCTCAGAGTCACCAACCAGGCTATCCTTATTATATCCATGTTTCTCTAGTTCGGTTTCCATATTCTTGAGCTTGTCAGCCGCCAATGAGTGTGCAAAAGAAAAAGAAAAAGAAGAAGAAAAAAAAATGTGCAAAAGAAAGAAAAGAAAAAATGTGAAAATAAAAAAAAGGGATTCATTGATTGAGGGGGAGCCTCCGCTTTTACTTACCAAATACCCCTTAATTCCTAGTGGTTTGACTTTCCTTTGTTGTGCTTAGATTCTCTTGTCAGAGGTCCAACTTTCAGATCACTACTAGGATTGAATCTAGTGTTTGTCGAACTCCAAGGGTCACACACTCACTTTTCTCATGGGATCTATACTTTTCACATAATGCATCACTTTCTTTTATGAGGAATCTTTTAGAGGTTGTGCACATTGTGGTTTCAAGTAATTGTGCTTCTTGGATAGTCTTGTGTGTTTTAAGGTACTAATCTGAAATTCCTTGCTTACTCCACCATATTATTTTTTTTGTTTTCTTCCTGTTCATTGTTTTCAATGTTTGTGGTTGTTTTTCGTAAGAGGGAGTTTGGTTTATCATTGGAAGAGCTTGTTAACATGAACTCTTTGAATTGTTTTTGTAAGGGAGATTGGCCTTAGTTGTGTTGCATGTTGCTAAGCACTGCTTCTTTCTTGTTCCCTTCTTGCATGCTATAGTTGTTTAAGCTTCCTTTGTCAATTCGTGACAAAAAAGAAGAGTTATGTTGTCAGGTGCATGTGTCTTAGGTTTTCATGTTTTTCATTTCATGCTTCAAGGTCTAGTCATATGTTTATTATTTTTTCCTATAGTCTTGTGGCACTAATAGTTGTTTTGGAGACTGTGGCACTAATAGCTGTTTTGCAGATCATGACCTTGAGAAAGAAATTTGCGTTTGTTGGCTGTAATGGGTTAGGGTGATTAGGATTTTATTTGTTAGGTGTGTTTTGTCACGGCATTGCCAAATGGGGAGATTGTTAGGTTTTTATTCTTGGTAGCCCCGTTTGACAAAATTCCTTTAAGTTGTATTTATTTTCGCACTTTTTATTTCAGTAAGGCTATGAGTTTTTAGATGCGAATCCAACCCGAATTGTGCCTTGCAGAGAAGTTTTGTGATGTTAATTCTTTCAAGATTGCCACTTCGCTGATTATGACGGGGATCGAGCTACCTAGTCAGCTTACGGGGGTCGAGGGTGCAGCGCCCCTTGGCAGCTCCGGGGCAGCACCATGGCAGGGTCGAGGGGCAGCGCCCCCGAAGCAAAATGCAAAAATACATTCCAAGTTGCCTGTCCGCTCGAGCGGAGAATGCTGAGTTCCAGAAGTTTATTCGCCTACAAGAATACTGGATGTTGTTTTTTCCCGCTCGAGCGGAACTTTCAGCGCTCGAGCGTAAGTCCGCTCGAGCGGCCAATCTGACGCTCCAGCGGAGATCGCGGGACAGTTTTCTATAAATACGTGTTTAAGTCCAAATCTAGGACAACGCCTCCAGATCTTCTTCTTGGGTTCTAGGGTTTATATCTAGGGCTATTTTGCTAGTTTTCTTTGATGTTTTCATTGAGTATTCAACTCATGGTTTAAGAAGCATACATCAAAGGTTTGTTTGTTTATTCTACACAAAAGAGAGAGTTGTTCTTCAGTAGATTCTGGGGAATTCGAGCCTGAAACTTTGGTGGATTCTAAAGTGGCTCATCGTCAAGACAATTCCGAGGTGAAGACGGGGTTGGAAGAGGCACATAGGGGTTGGTTCAATTCGGGCGTGAATTCGCTAGGTAATTGAGAGTATACCTGTGTAATTCATTTATATCGTCTTAGTGGATTGTTTTGTGGCTGTTGCCCGTGATTTTTTTATCACAATCGGAGGTGCTCCAATTGTGATTTTTCCACGTTAAAATCGTTGTGTCGATTTGTCTTGATTGTTTGATTGGGATTGTTTTATTGCTTAAAATTGATACATAATAAAATTAGTGTGGTATTAACTATCCCACCCCTACCCCATTACTAATAATCCTACAAATTTGTTGGATTAATTATCCATTGGATTAATAGTCCTAAACCAAATGTCAAAACAAACATAGGATGATTGGGCCCACGGATTAATAATCATAATCCCATGCTTTAATCCTTCCAATCAAACATGCTCTAAGGGTTTGATATGGTGGTCAGTGTGTAGAGTCTAGATATGTGCTCTGTCTATGGTCTTAAATGCAAATAATTTTTGAGGTTAGTTTATGCAGGACTTTATTCCCGACTTTAATTGGATCCCCACTAATAAATGATGGGATTGATCCCCCTTAATCAGTCTGTCCTTTCGACTAAATACTGAGTTATCAAAAAAAACCAACACCACCTGACCTTTCATAAGGAGGCCAAATATGCACAATAATATTGTCTGCTTTAATACTATGATGCCATCAATAATCCTAAAAATTCAAGTAGTGTTTGCTTCAATTGAATGAAATGATCATTCTATCCAAATGCATTCTCATATTTGGGTGATTAAAAAATTAATAAAAAATACATTATAAATAAAATTATCATTCATCATTATAAGGGAATAATTATTATGAGAGTCTAAAGAATGACTATTCCATTCAATTTCATCTCATTTTAGCCCGTCAATAGCATCCATTGTTAAAAAATTCAGTCAATAATATAAATCATGCTACTGATATCATTGTCATGGACTGTAATTAATTCTTTCAAACTAAATATTAAGATTTTAAAACAAAAAACTTCAGGTAATGTAATTGTAAATGAAAACCCCATGACATATTTCAAATTTAATGTGTAGGTTCAAACCTTTATTCCAAGTGCGATTGTTGAACTTAAGCTCTGGTGTGTCTTTTTGAGGGAAGAAAGGCCCTAACTCCTCTGCTGCCCCATATCCAATTGATGAACATCCTGGACCTGCATTGTTTCAACTTTTTCATAAACCTTTCATTTTTTGTTTTTTTAACAAAAACAAAAAGACGCTCAATGGGGGTATTATAACATCTGTGAGCCTTGACCTCTGGGTAATCGGTTGCCAGCCAGATTTAAGAGCATCCGCATCAAATTCTCTACAATAGTTTTGAAGCTATTGTAGAGAGCATCAGCATTAAATCCTTCCTCCATCAGCCTCTCCAAATTTTTTGTAAATTAACTTTTTTGTTAAATTTGCTACAGTACCTCAACAAAAAAAAAAAAGAGGCACTGTTCATTAGTTACATTATGTTTTATTATATTTTTTGGAGCAAAATTGGGCGAGAATCTTTAAACCGGTCGTCCACCCGGATGTACTACCGGATATCTTACCAGATGTCCCGTGAGTGCTTGTAGTAGAAGAAGAAAAATGTCCAAAATTAGCCTAACCGGTTGACCAGTCGATCGACCGGCCGGTCCACCGGTCAAAGGCAAATTTTTTTTTTTTTGTATTTTTTAAGAATTGTTTGGGTAGCACCTTATCAATTTAATAAAAAAAGAAAAAATAACAAATATCCAAATTTTTTGTAAATTAACTTTTTGTTAAATTTGCTACAGTACCTCAAGAAAAATAAAAAGGCACTGTTCATTAGTTACATTATGTTTTATTATATTTTTTGGAGTAAAATTGGGCGAGAATCTTTAAACCGGTCGTCCACCCGGATGTACTACCGGATATCTTACCGGATGTCCCATGAGTGCTTGTAGTAGAAGAAGAAAAATGTCCAAAATTAGCCTAACCGGTTGACCAGTCGATCGACCGGCCGGTCCACCGGTCAAAGGCAAATTTTTTTTTTTGTATTTTTTAAGAATTGTTTGGGTAGCACCTCATCAATTTAATAAAAAAAGAAAAAATAACAAATACAATAAGAAATTAATATTTTAATAAAAATGAGTTAGAATAGAGAGTTTGATGCAGTGAATACTAAAAAAGTAACTTGTTAAAATAAAAAAAGTGAATTTTGAATTAAATTTGACTAAAAATTTAAAAAATCTGATACGGATACTCTAACCCAACCTAATAAAAAAGGACACACTACCGAGACGCCTAACCTCATCACGCGTCATAAAAGAGGCCAAGCTTCAACATAAATACAACACAGACACCACAGAGTTTCCGTAAAGAGAGTGTACCCCCAAATGCGAACCTGACTCACCCCCGGGGCCACCACCCCCGGTGGTTTTCATACACCTTTCTTATGCTGTTAAATAAATTGTAAATTAAGTTAAAAAAAGTTTCAAATTGTAAATTAAGAAATTCTCACTTTTTTGGACTAAATAAATTAAAAATGTTAAATAAATTATAATATAAAATTATAATCAAACACCATTAGTTAAGGTTTTTTTTTAATCAAATAAATTAATCAGGGTTATTTTGAGAATTGTTTATTTTAATTAGTTGTGTCATTTTACTAAAAGGGTGAAAAAAAAATAGAGAATTTTTTTTTTTTTGGGTTATTACATGCCAGTGGTGGCAAAAAAAAAAAATACAAATTCATGGAAAAATTTATAAATTTAATTATTAATATTTATAAAATTTCTCATTGATTTGTAATTATTTTTTCAAAAATCCACTGATGGTCCCGTTTGGTAAAGCTGTGGGAAAATTATTATAACTTATAGTTTGACAGCTTATAGCTTATAACTGTGAACAGAAGCTGATTTTTTACTTATAAATTAAGCTTCTCCTCCCTCACTTAAAGAATAAGTTGATTTTTGACTTACAAAAAGCTATAAGCTGTATTGTTAAGCTGAACCAAACACATCAAAATAATTATTAATATTTATAAAATTTCTCATTGATTTGTAATTATTTTTTCAAAAATCCACTGATGGTCCCGTTTGGTAGAGCTGTGGGAAAATGATTATAGGTTATAGTTTGACAGCTTATAGCTTATCACTGTGAACAGAAGCTGATTTTTGACTTATAAATTAAACTTCTCCTCTTTTACTTAAAGAATAAGTTGATTTTTGACTTACAAAAAGCTATAAGCTGTATTGTTAAACTGAACCAAACACATCAAAATAACTTAAATTAAGCTAAAAGCTGAAATAAGCTGGAAATAAGCCCTACCAAACATGGACGATGTGATATTTCCCCAATTATTTATTTATTTATTTTTAGGTAGCGACTTTTTTATTTTAGTTATTTTTAGGCCTTGTTTGACATGTTGATATTTTAACTTAAAAGTTAAAAAATTACTAAAAAAAGTTAAAAAGTTTTCAACTCAAACAAATCAAAGATTTCCTTTTATTCACTCTGCTTTTTGCACATCTTTTTGTAAAAAATCCAAATGTCATTCCCAAACATATATTGATTTTGTTTATCACATATTTTAGTTAAAAAGTTAAAAAAATCACTTTCCAAACAATCCCTTACCGTGTTGCCAAAATAAGCCAAAGTTGACTTAGAAATACTATTGACCTGGGGCCCAATATTAAAAATTTTCTAAATTTGAAGGTTATCATAAACAAGGCTTAATTAATTTGTGATCATTATTATGTATTTAAAAGAAATCCAAAATCAAGCATTAACCTTTTTGATCAAAACATGTAATTAAGAAGCCAAAAGCCTACAATTCCGAACAGCGACCCAGAAAGTAACCAGAAAATGGATGTGTGATTTAAATCTAATTGAATATATTTCCTTTTCATTACAATTTACCCTTACTAACATATCACCCGTGCTATGCACGGGATAGTTATAGATATTTATATTTGTTTTAATTTATTTTTAATATATAAATTATATTTTTTAAGATTTTTTATAAAAATAATTTAACAATCTTATCACTAATCATAGTGTATAGGAGAAATTAAAAAGGCTGCTGCAGTAACTATGCACGGGTTGTATCTATAATTATTTGTATGGAGGGATTTTAAATGCTAATCAGGGATTTTGACCAAATCAATAAATGCAGGCATGTGGATTGGAAAAAGTTAATAATGCTGATCAGGAATTTTGACCAAATCAATAAATACTGAGGGTTTTTTTTTTAAATCAAAAATTTAGAAAATTAAGATTGAGAGATTGGAGCTCCCACAAGGCTTAGGGTTTAGAAACCCCCTTTTTCTTAATATATTTACAATTATCTATATATGTGAATTGTAATTTTTAAATGTCATTTTTTTAATTTTTAAATGTCTTCTTTTTTTTCTTTTTTATATTATATTAAAGTTTAATATTTTGATAATAATCATATGTGTTAGAATTTTTAGGAAATTAAATGTCTTTTTTTTTATTATATTATATTAAAGTTTAATATTTTAATAATAATCATATGTGTTAGACTTTTCAAGAAATTTTTTTTATACTTGTTCTTAATGCATTAAAGTGTTATTATGAGGGATAATAATCATATGTGTTGGGACTTTTCAAGGAATTCATGTGTTGGATTTCAAAGAATTTTTTTTTATGTTTGTTCTTAATGCATTAAAGTGTTATTATGAGGGTAAGACTTGGGGATGAGAGAAGTTAACAAATGCTAAGTTTTTTTTTTTTTTAAAATCAAAAAATCAAGAAGTTTAGATTGGGAGATTGAAGCTCTCACAAGGCTTGGAGTTAAAAACCCTCTTTTACTTAATATATAGTATAAATTTGAGTATATGTATATGAAAAATGATTCATCCCATAATTTAGTTCCTCTAATTTCACTTTCAATGGTGTGGAATTAGGGGCCTAGGGAGAGAGAGTAAAACCTGCTTCACGTGGGTTTTAGCCATGCCATTGGGAGTGGAATTGGGGGACCTCATTAGAGGATATAGGGGGACTGATTATTTGAGAATTCATATTCACACTCCAGAGATTTGATTACACTTCATATTTGTCCTCCTTTTTTTTTCTTTTTCTTTTCCCACAAATTAAAGTATGAGAAGTAAATTTAGAATATGGTTATCAATTCAATAGTATAGTTAATGAGTGTTCTAAGAATATTAATATGCATTTTTTTATTAGAAATGTATAATAACAATTCTAAGCTTCTTTTCAACTCTCTTTAGTGCACTAGTTAATAAAATCCTATTAACAATACAATTTGATTTACTAATGCACTTTATGAATTCAAATTTGGTGTTGTGATTTTTTATAGAAGATTCATAAAATTTAATTAGTCAAAAAGTTAAAACCACAAGATTCAATTTTTGACATTCATTTCACAATAACTCCCATATTAATAGTTGGTCAAAACACTGGCTCATGGTCATACAAATTTAGGTATGATAACATTAAAAACATTAATGATTTATCTACACCAATTTTTCGTCCAAATCCCCTGAATGAGACTACTCTTGCTAGTAAGAAATAAATTTGGGCAGATTCAGGCAGAAAATTTGTGTGAATGAATCATGTCGCATTAAAAAAATGGGGTCACAATTTTGCGTAAGGACAATATATACTTCAACAAATATTTTTTATCTTTCAGAATGACCTTTTATGGCAACCCTTGTGACGAGAGGAACTAATCTCCAAACATTTTTTTGCAACATAATTCACTTTTGGAAATAAAAAAGTTTGATCCTTAAAATTATAATATGTTGTAGTGATATTTTTTTTTAACAGTGCACCTACTATTTTAAACCAATTTTGTTCACACATTTTTAAAATATGTGAAATTAAAATCATTATAATTTGTTGGATTATAAAAGTCGTCAAAAAATCTTAATCATTTCACTAAAACCATACATTAAATCACCCCAATTTGAATGTTTTGTTGGGTGATCCAAATCTTATATAATAAATTTTTTAAACAAAACAAAATAAAAAAACCTACCCTGAACTCAAAAACAATGGTTCAATGATTAATCACATTGACAACAACATATGATGACTATTCTACTCATATGCGTTGGTGGTCACAGTAACGGTGGATGGTAGAAGAAAAAGGAATTTCACCTAATTCTCCCAATAATCTAATTATTTATTTAGTAAACTAATAAGGGTTCATTTGAAATGTGAGTTGATTTTTTAATTTTTTAATTTTTTAATTTAGTCTAAAAAATCTCGTTTAGGATAGACTTTTTTATTTTTTGACTTTTGCGAGAGAAAAAAATGAAATGATTATGAATTAGATGTGATATTTTATCTTATTTAACTAACATAATTTATTTTGTCCTATATGACTATTTTAACTCCAACCTTTATCCCAAACGGGCCCTATATATACTTATATGTATGTATCTTAATAGGCATCATTATTCATTAGGGAATATTAGGACACGTAATTTTCTGTTCTTAAATATTTTTATTCTCTCTATCAAAATGTTTGCAATCATTACATCATGTCTAATTAATATGGTATATTAAGATTCTCACATAATACAATAATTATAAATATTTTGAAATGAAGGATCAAAAAGATTTGACAATATGCAATTTTTTACCCAAATTTAAAACATAATCATTACTAATATCTACCAATCATATTAAAATTTTAGAACACAGAATCCTCGACCTTTAAATTTTATTATCTTCATATCTTAAAATACTTATAACAAATGAATTATATATTAAAATTTTCAGATAATTAACTGTAAGTGTTTTTGAAACAGAAGAATAAAAATTTGAGGTATTTACGTGTAGATCCTAATAAGTGGACTTATTATCTAATAGGTCCTATGAAAAAATTGTCATAAAAAAGTCACTAATTGTAAGTTTTAACGACAATTTATAAAAATCATGACAAAAAAAGTCACTAATTGTCAATTTTTAGAGACATATATAAAAAATTATCACAAAAAAAATTATTTTTAACGATAATTTTACCAAGACTTATTTCAATAGAACTTAATGAGAATTAAGTCTAACTATTATGACCTATTAGTAGTTTATCCTAAAAATATTTGAAGACATAACATCATTGGCCTAAATTTATTATGTAGAATTGAAGGTTTGTTTGGAAAGAACTTTTTTGATTTGATTTTTTGGCTAATTAACTCCATTTAGAAATAATTTTTTGACATTTTTATTTTTTGTAAGAAAAAAAATAATTATTATAATTTAAATATAACATTTTATTTTATTTTATTTTATTAACATCTTTAAGTTAATTTTTCTTTTTTACGTTTTTTTAGTAACCCACTCCAAACCAATTTGCCAAACCGCAGCAGAATGGTTGGTATAGGACACATCAAACATTTATGGGCATGTGGGAAGGAACCAATAACAAATAAGTCTCTAATTATACTCTGAACAACCCATGAAGACCAGAAGACAAAACAAAACCAATAATTCAGAAACAGAAAAAACAAAAACATAAAGAAAACTAATAAATCAGAATAAATGGAAAGAAATTAAATGAAATTTAATATAATTTAATTACCTCCATTGAGCCATAGAAGGAGAGGCTTGTTTTCGGGTTTTTTCGTGGCTTCAAAAAACCAATAAAACAGTGCTCTTCCATGGGTTTCATTGACTGTAACATAGCCTGCATATTGCCGGAAAGTCACCGGAGGCTGGCCAGGAAGTTTGGTGACTCGGTCGGCCTCTTGTTCTGATAAGGCTTTGGGACTGAGTTGACCGGGGTCGAGTCGAGCTGAAGCAACTGCAGCTAGGATGAAAGTCAGAAGAAGAATATGAAGATACATCATTGGAGATATTATCAAGACAGCCACACACTACTCTATGTTTCTCTCTCCTCTTTTCTCTTTCTCTCTCTTCTTTCTCAAGTTTTTGTAGGGAGACTGTGTGTGGTTTATATAGTTGTAGGGACAATGGAAAGATGGATAAGAATTCTCTGTATTGCTTGCTGTATGCATTTGTGAAATTGGTTAGATTCATTTTCCATTCCATTCTATTCCATTCCATTGTACTTAGGAAATATCTTTTTTGGATGTATGTAATTGATAATTTAGTTATTGTCGATCGGTTAATATTTTTTTTTTTTTTAAAGGGAAATGCTTTTTGTAAAAAATTATTATACAGAATTTGTCACTTAAATGATTTGACGGTGACATTTTTTTAATTAAAATGAATCTTGATGGATTTTAAAATTGAAAATGATAGACTCATAATTTAAGACATAATTTTAAGTAGAGTCATTTTCATTCTACGGTTCATATTTGAAAATATCTCTTTTGGAAGTAAATACATAATGATTTTTTGTTATTAGCTAAAAAAAAATCTATTGATGTAAACCGTCAAATATTACAACAATAAAGAAAAGCAAAAGTAAGTGCAAAATTGTACCTTACAACAATTAAAAAAAACAAAAGTAAATGCAAAATTGTATCATGGCAATGCGGAGCGATCTCAATTAAGTTGATACCAATGCGCAAGCCTAGTTATATGCAAGCACGACATCAAGAGTTGGTGAGAGACCAACCAAATAACTCCCAACACCCGAAAAAACAAAAATAAGACGGAGCAAACTACTCCAGGCACCCCAATAATCCCTGATTTGATCCGGCACCAATATCAGTAGCATAGCAGTCAAGCAACAATATTATTAGCATAGCATATCATATCATTTATTTTTTTCAAATATACTATTCTTTCAGGATACTATTTTTAAATTAAAAATTTACTCACTAGAATAACATGATATTGGTATTTTTGTACATAAAGTGCATCTTGATGGGGTTGTAAGGTTTAAAATAACAAAATCCACAATTTAACATATCATTTAGTATATATTTCTTTTTGTATATATTTTCTGTTTATATTGAAAATGATATGTGTAAATTGTAATGGAGGGCGTCTTAATTAAAAATTATGAAAGGAGGATAAATGACCATATCTTTTTGTATCTATTTATATATGGTTATTAATTTTTACTTTTATTTTTATTTTTTTTGTGTGTGGGTTGTTGCTTTTACTAGGGGTAAAGTGCAATTTTGGATTTCTTCAAAGTGTAGTCACTGGAGGGGTCGGGTCCATATTTTACTCAAAATGATCACAATTTATAAGGCTCCAGTCAATTGCTTTGGATTCAAACCATTGAACTAACACTTGCCTTAAAGATCCACAATAATATCTCCACTACATATTTTATAATTATTTTCAATACTATCAATTACTATTATTATTATTATTATTACCTGAAATATCTTCCAAGCTATTCTATCATGGCACTTTAAAAAACAGTTATTTTAAATCAATTTTAAAATTAAATACAATTTTCTTAATCGAAATGTCAAAATTTTGACCCAATTTTATTTGACCAAACCAAATTCCAATAAAAAAGATTTGAAAGAGCGTTAACAGGCTAGCAGATAGATCACAACTGTTAGAGTTAAAATGAAGTTTAAAGTTGTATCATTAAAATAATTGAATTTTTAAAAAAAAATACAAAAAAAGGAAAAGAAATAAGCTTGTAACAAAATAAATCTAAAGTTTTAAATTTTGTAATTTAAATCTTAAATTTTTTATTTATTTTCAATTTAAACTATCAACCTATTTTTGTTAACTAAAACTGATGAAAAAAAATTATATGTAAGTCATTAGTCACAAAAAACAAAATAGGCTATTTTAGCCACAAAAAATAAAATAGGCTATTTTAGTCACAAAAAACAAAACATCAAATCCAACCCATAATCATTACACTCCCCTCTCACAAAAAAAATCACAAAAGCCAAAAAGTCAAAAAACCCTTCCCAAACCAGGCTTTTTAGCCCCAGGCTAAAATAGCCAAAAAACCAACTCACTTCCCAAACGGAGGCTAAACTCAATGAAAGTGTATATAAAATGTCTAAAATATTATTTTTCGTTGAGTTTAATAACTAAAATATCATTTCCGCATGTTTTACTTAATGAAAATATGTTGGTGCTTTATATTGAAAATAAATAAATAAAAAATTAATATTTAAATTGATAAAATTAAAATTTTATTTTGTTATTAGAATCAAACCTTGATTTTTTAAGAAAAATTACACGCAAGTGGGAGAAGGGAAAAAAAATTACCAACACATAAGGGTTGCAACACGTGCACCCTCACAGTCTTTTATTTGCACCCCACCACAGTTACACTTGCACTCCTCTAGGCCTGGCCTTGAGATTTTCGGGGCTCAAAGTCGATAATCAACTAATAAATTTTTAAGGCCCTTCACATTTTTTTTTTCATTGCATGAAAAAAAATGAAAAAAAAAATGAAAGTAAAAGGCAAAAGATTTGTGTCAAAATCACAAAAAATACTTAGTATTACATTACAACAACTAATAAGTGTCGCTTGATCCTCGTTCTTCTTGCATTTTTAGAAGTAAATAAATCAATCATACTTGCATAATCTAATTTTTTTGCAAAATCATTTTCAATTGATAACAATGCTAATTATTTTAAATGGGTCTTTTAATTTTTTAATGGGTCAATTTATTTTAAATTAGTTTGGGTTTTCCTTAATTTTTTTGGATTTAAAACATATCTAATATATTACAATAAACTATAATAGAAAGGAACCATTTTTTTTGGTCTATTTTCAATGGATAACAATGTTAATTTTTTTAATAGGTTAATTTATTTTAAGTTAGTTTGGGTCTTCTTTAATTTTTTTTGAACTTAAAACATACTAATATATTATACTAAACCATAACACGAAAGGCCTTTTTTTGGATCTATTTTGGGAGGCCTTAGGCCATGGCTTGATTGGCCCACGCCCAAGGCCGGCCCTACACTCCTCATATGTTAGTATTTTTTTTTTTCCTTCTCTCACATGCACATAGTTTTTCCATTTTTTAAAAGTAATTTTCTCTTTAAATTTAGGCGTGGTTTGACATACTCCAAATAATCTAAAAAGTCAAAAAATTACTAAAAAATTAAAAAGTTATCACTATTCACCAAAAAAAATAATTTTACACACAAATTATTACAACTCAGTCTGACATCCCACAGACTTTTGCTGAGTTTTTTGGAAAAAATGCACAGGCAGGGTGCACAAACAACACGATGTTGTTCAGCCCATGGGGGCTCATCACGGGTCCCGTTTTGATAATCTGAACATTTCAACATGTAGAACTCGTTGAATACTATATGTTTGTAAAAAATCACGTTGATCGGATATAGCTAACTACATAATCAAAACAGTTTTGTATAAAAAAATGAATGGTGTTATAGTTAACGGTTAAAAAAAAAACTAATTCGATCAGATAGCTATCAATATCCGATCAACGTGATATTTTACAAACATATAGTACTCGACGAGTTCTATACATTGAACGGTTCAGATTAACAAAACGGAACCCGTGATGGCCCCCACGAGCAGGGATGGACTGAGGGGCGCTGGCAGAGGCGACCGCCCCCCCCAAAGGTTTTGAAAAAACCCCTAGATATAGTAATAAAATTACAAATATTTTAAAATTATATAGGTTCGCCACACCAAAATTTTTGCACAAAATTTAAGAACCGCCACCCCCTAAATTTTGCACTTTAAAATTTAATTTTTTTTTTTTTGATAAACACTAAAAATAATAATAATAATTTATTTTTTAAGTATGATTACTTTTTTATTTTAAATTTAGTAATGTTAAAATAATCAACAATGCTATGTAGCAAAAAAAATTTTAGCTCAAATGGCTCAAATCACTCAAAACGACGTCGTTTTGACAGATTTGAGTCATTTGAGCCACAAAATTTTGAGTTACCAAACATTTTCCTAAAATAATTAAGAATTTATTTGTTAATATGTTAAAATCTTTTTTGTCTGATTAGGGCCCAAATTTTTTAGTTGTTCGTTTATAACTAAATTTAAAAAAAAATGATTACTCAAGAGCAGTAGTAGCCTACCTAGATCAGTCATCATATATTCAAAACAAAGAAGTTTCTCTTCTTTCTCTTATTTCACAACTAGTGAACCCAAATCATCAGAACTAGTGACCCAAAACACAATCTCTCTCTTGTGTGTCGTGCGTCTTCCGGTGTTCAAGATCGTGATTCCTCCGGCAGCACTCTGGTACTCTCTCTCTCTCTCCCTCTCTCTATCTCTCAGAGTTAGGGTTTATTATTTCGGGGAAAAAGATTGGACTGTGAACTTGGTAATACTGGTAATGGAACCATTTGTGTAATTCTCAATCAACCATTCATACTTTTGTATTACATTTCTATTGTCAACTATCGAGCACAACTTTAGATGCCTAAGTAGATATGTCGAGCAAATAATTGTTTTTTTGAAAAATTAATATGAATTTACTAGAACATATCAAATTATATTTTGATAAAATTTTACAATTATATAAAATAAATGGAAACATCTAATTATATATTTTTATGATATTTGAGTAAAATTTGATATTGTATATCACAGGCTCATTACAAATTTTTTGATTGCATATACACTCGCCCCCTCGACATTAGAATCCTACATCCGTCCCTGCCCACGGGCCAAACAGTATCGTCCAATGCAATGTCCGAAAAGTAGGCAACCATTTCTTATATCAAATCACTCTACCCAGACGGTACAGTCGTACTGTCTACTCTTCCTAACTTCTCCTATATCCTAATTTATACAATTTTTTAATACACATTTTTTTATAAAAAGTCAAAAAGTTAATCTAAATAACTATCTTTTTTTCTCAACTTTTTAGTCCAAAAAGTCAAAAAGTGCACTTATTTAAGACATCCCAAACAATCCCTCAATATCAAGAATTCACATATGAAACTTAGGGACAATTTAAAAACTTGGTAAAAAGTCAACTTTTTGACTTTTTAGTTTTTTTATACCAAAAAGGCACAAAAAAAGGTTGCAAAAAAGTCAAATTTTTTAGTAAAAACTCAATAAAATCAGCTTTTTATTAACTTCTCAAAATACCGCTTA